ATTTTTTAATTTAAAATAAAAAAATTAGATTTTTTTTTAAAAAAAATTTTCAATAATAATGGGAATTAACGGTGCACTACCAAAATTAGACTAAATTATAAACAAATAATTAAAATGGAGGACATAACTGTTAGGTTTAAAACTTGAAGAATAAGTTGCAATTTCTTTGAAAATTGAAGGAAATAACGTAGATTCTTGTAGCTCAAAATTTAAAATAGATTCTTGTAGCTCAAAATTTAAAATTGATTATTTCACGAAACCGTGTGGTCCCAGGCAAAGGTCATAGGCCATTTGGATCCCTTTGGAGAAATAGTAAAAATCATTTTTTCATATCGTCCCGGCTGTCCAACTCTTCTGCTTATGCATTTTTAGGTCATCCTTTACTTTACTTTTTTGTGCTTTAGGTTTTTTTTAAAAAAAATATTTATTATTTTTTATAAAAACTAATTTAGATCATTTGAGTTAGAGTAAGAATTCCATAGTCGATAATGCAATTATTTTGAACTATTTATATTATTTTAAATAATAAAAAAATTCAATTTTTTTTAAAAAAACAAATATAAATTTGGTTCAGATTTAGTTATACTTTTGATAAGTCACATTAACCAAACTATTAAAAATTAAAATTAAATTCTTATCCTTGCTTTCATCAAAAAGTTCGTTGATGATGTGATTCTAATATGTGTTATAATTATGATTTTTAAATTACAATCACAAATGTGAATATTGTTGTAACTAGCAAATAATCATAAATTTTATGTCTTAGATCATAGCAAAATTGGGTGCAAAATATTTAAAACTCAAAAATCAAGAAATTTATTAATTTTTTGATTGATTTTGAACTTGTTCACAAACATGTCAAGTTAATTTCAAGATAATGTTCAAATTTAATTGATTAATTTTTCGATTGAATTCGAACTTATTCACACACATTAAAAAACAATTTCTTCAAGAATTGACTTGGAATCAAAAGCAATCCATGTATGTCACTCGATTCCGCCTAATCAGCCTTCCAATACATTTCCTTTATGTAGATATTTGTTTAATTTCTTGAGGCATATTGCTGGACAAAATATGCCACCGAATCCAAAATTAGAAAACGAGTTTTGGATGTGATTGGATAAATATAAATTTAGATACCAATACTATGTTCTCATGAACTTTTGGGGACCGAAAAGTATGTGACCTTTTCTTTCTCCGTGGGAATACAAACAAGCTGTGAAGTCATTTTTTCTCCCAAAGAAAAATGAACCAATTGGGAACAGACCGACAAAAACAGAAAGCCAATAGTCTAAATCATTTCTTATTATCCATTGAAGCATGACAAAACATAAAGAAAAATTGTGCCAAATTATTATAATTAAAAAAAGCTCTTGTTTGTTGTGCCAAAATTATTATTCAACAAACATATCGAGGAGACAATTTATCACTTTTGAAGGACATATTTAAAAAATTCATATATGTATGAGGTCTAATATGAACTTTTGGGAGTCCATGATCCTTCCCATTGAGAAGATAACTATGACTTCCTTATTGAGAAGATAACTATGACTTGGTTAATAACTAGTTAGTTAGTTTAATATCATAATAATTCATTGATTAGTTGGATTAGTTAAATGATATAACGGATGAGTCATAGAGGATAAAACCTCACTGTATAGACACAAAAGTCATTACACTGGAATAATAGACAAGAAGTAGCGGAGCTATGCTTCTGGAATCAATTCTGTCTTTACTTAAAATAAGGTAGATTAATTCTTCCATGAAAACCGCGTGGTCCCGGACGAAGGCCATAGGCCATTTGGATCCCTTCCTAGAAAGAGTTAAAATCATTTTTTCAAATCCTTCCACAAGTCTAACTCTTGTTCTTATTCGTTTTTTTTCTAGACCATCCATTGCATTACTTTTTTGCATTTTAGTTTTATTTATAAAATATTTATTATTTTTTTATAAGATAATTTAGATCATTTGAGTTAGAGTAAGGATTCCACGGTCTATAATACAATTTTTTTTAGCTATTTATATTATTTTAAATAATAAAAAAAAACAGCAAAAAAGAAAAAAATTGGCTTTTTTGGAAAAAATCAAACACAAATTTGGTTTGGGATTAGTCATACCTTTGATGAGTTCGATTAGCCAAAAATTGAATACTCACTTCTATTTTAATCAAAAAATTCATTGACAATGCAATTCCAATCCATATCATGATTATGGTTTTTAAATTACGGTCATAAACGAGGATGCTATTGCAGTGTGTATGTCATCATAAGTGTGTTATGTAACGATCATAGCAAAATTAAGTGCAAAATATATTAAATAATATGTCTATAAGTAATTAATTTAAAACTATAAGATATAAATTTAGAAAAAATGATAAAATTTTAAATTTTTTTCTAAGTGTAACAGTTGTTAGCCATGACAGAAACAACACATGGATCATTAATTAACATTACAAAATGATTGTTTCAACCACAACTTATGCAAAATTCTCTATATATTATGTTAAAAAACAGACTATTTTCAAAACCACGCTTATGATCATTGTTCAACTATCGAATGATTTTTTATATGAGATGAAATGATATCTAGAAAAGACCTTTCTATGATGCATTTGCATGAAAAATATAACAAGATCGAGTTGAGTATCATGACAAGGTTCAATTTAAGATAGTGTTTTAAGTTTAGTTTATTAACTTTTCGATCGAGTTCGAACTCTTTTGCCAGCATAAAAAATTAAATTAATATAATATTTCTAATATAATCAATTTTAATATATTATCTTTAATTAGATGATTTAGTAAGTTGGCCTCAAGTGTAATTTACTGTTACTTACTTTGCATTTATTATATAATAAAATATTCTTTTTCAATAAAATATTTGAAAAATATTAATTAAAAATATTTTTTAATTTAATGAATATTTCGAATCAAATAGTAAATTATTCAAGTTGCTAATTGAGAAACTTGCTAGAAATTTCCTTTCTTTCTTCCCTTCCTAACTAAGAAATCACTCGGACCCGTTTGAAACCTCTAATTTATCTGTTGATTTTTTTTTTTTTCTCTCTTTGACTGTTGAAAGTAGTCCAGATGCCGCACACAGTTTTTGGGGTCTGAAAAGTATGTCACCTTCTCTCCCAGTTTTAGGCGTGCATGTGGTGATGTCATGCTCTCTCCAATGAAAAATGAACCAGTCGGAAAGAGATGGACTAAAAATGAAAAACAATAGCTTAAATTATTTTCTCATAATCAATTGAAAATGACAAACCATAAAGAAAAAAAGTGTGGCATTAATCAAGTTATTATTATTATTATTATTATCATTATCTTGATGAAAGATAGTAATTTTTTATAATATAGACTAAATAAATATAAAACTATTTTTATAGTAACTTCATATCAAAAACTAATAAAAAAATTGTAATTTGTTATATTAAAAAATTAAACAAAATGTTTTTACAATAATAACAATAAAAAGGACATTTTGTTAAAATGTGATTCGGATATGTGTTATGACTATAGATTTATAGTTTTTAAACAAGGATGTGTCCCGCGCTTCCCTGGGACTAAACATCATCCAGGTAAAGGTTTTTTTTTTTTTTTTTTGCATACAAAAGCCCATTCATTTTCTTCTTAATTTCTATCATGCCACAAAGTGGAATTATGAAATTTCATATTTACCCTTCATTGATTTGCTTTTGATTTGCTTCTTTTGTTTTTTTATTGATAATTTCCTTTTACTTTAGACAAAGCATTTAATGCTTCGTCATTCATTGTTTTTTTTTTCCTCTTTCTTTGTTTTAGCAGGCAAGAATTGCACTGAAGAGTAAATTATAAATTGGTCCCTGTTGTTTCCACAAACAAATCAATTAGTTTCTATAGTTTTAAAATTTTATTATTTAATTTTATTTGCATTATTTATTTATTTATTTTCCTTTAAGATATAGAAAATAAATAAATAAATAAGTGAAAATATGAAAAGATCGATGAAAAAGAAAGAAAATGGGACATTGGGAAATTGTTATGCACAATAAGTTTCAAAGGCGCGCGGTAGGGTGCAATAAATTTTTAAAAACTGCGTCCACTGTGCATTGATTCTTTTGTATATGTTACTATTTTAGTCCCTATTCGTTGTAATTATTCTAAATTGAATTCTTAAGACATTTTCCATTCCAAATAAATTATAAATTAGTCTTTATAGTTTTTGAAAAAAAAATCATTAATATCTTTTATTTTAAAAATTAAATAAATTAATTTTTGAAATAAGAAGTAAACTTAAAAATCTAATTTATAATTTACTCTTTCAATTCCTTTGAATTCTACAAGGGAAAAACAAATGAATTAAGAAATTTTTTTAAAATACTCAAATAGTAACTATCAATATTTATACCATACACTCACTTTAAAGAGAAGACAAATACGAAAAAGAAAAAGAAAATTATATCTAAACCCATTAAAAGTTGTAAAAATATTCCTTCTCATTTAAACTTAATTTTTTTTTAATTCTCCTTTTTTTGGTTTTGCGTGTGTGTTTAACTCTCTCCTCGATAAATTTATAATTTATAATTTTTATTTATTGATTTATTTTTATTTTTTTGTGTCTATCTTTCTTGGCAGTTAGGAGTATCAGAAACTTCTCTCGAGCTGAAAGCCCTTCCCTACGCATGGTTTTATATTTTGTTGCTCTGTTTTGTTCATGGGCTGATAATACCTTGAGCCAGCCTTCGTCCATTTAGGGGCCCTTATCAGCAGAACGTCGGGTTTAGATAATTGGTTGCTTTTCATTGATGCATGACACAAGCTTATGAAAAATTTCCTAGAGTAAAATTCCCAAAAGAACATAGGAGAATAATCCAACATCATGAAAAATAAAAATTTAAATCTCAGAATTCCTCTGGCACCTGAAACGACTAAATAACAAAAACCTGCCAAAAGAAAATACTTGCCTCCTTAAAATGAGGTCCAACAGTCAGGATCTCCTGAATGGGATCTTCCACACAGATAATGTCGTGCTTGATCAGAGATTTGGCAGGTGATAAACCAAATATCGAAGTCCAATATTGGGCACACAGAGAACAGAATCGGAGGAGCTCATTCCTGAGAAAAGCACACAGCCGAAGAGAAGCTCAAAGTAACCAAATTCGATGGAATCCTGCCATCCATGCTTCTATTATCCACAAAAATAACTAATCACCGTACGGACCAAACCAGCATACACAATACCATTTGACACGCAGAGCAAATAGTCGAGGAGAGCTCGATTTTACATGCTTCTGGGTCCAAAGCAGTAAGGACCCGTCTTGCACGAAGAGCGGCCAAAATCAAGAGAAGCTCAATCTTACACATAGCAATAGTATATGTCAAGGATTTGGCAGGTGACCAAACCAAGGTCCAATCAATTCCGAGGAAGTAGAAAACAAAAATCTAACGTATTGGTCATCAAGAATTCTGCACTCTATAACCAGGGAGATTTAATCATTCCGTGATTGCCGCAGCTATAGCAGGCAGGCATAATGCACAAGCCCTTAAAGCAATCCACGGATTAACGCTATCCCGCAGTAGCATTTCCAAGAGTGCTATGAACCCGAAAGCCACACCAGCATTTCCAGTCGCAGTCATAATTCGTGTAGCAAGCCCTTCTCGGTGTCCACACATCAAGGTACGAGTAAAGAAAGAAATATAGCCGATGATATTACTTCCTGCAGCAAGGTCCCTCAGAATTTTTGCATTGCCTGATAGAGGATGGCTGCCATTTCAAAAAGAAGGCCGTCACCAAAGAGACAACTGCTTGGCACATGAGCAAAAGGAATGAATTGATTGGATTTGGTGCAGGAGGTGGTACAAGGGATGCCTGATAGGTCAGCAAAGCTGGCTCTTCAAATTTAAGGAGCACATCTGGTATCCCTGAAGCATTTTGAAGAAGACCATTAATTTGAATTGGAACACTAGAAGGCAAGCGGTCAGTGGCATCAGATTCCTGAGCAGAATTCATGATTGAGCCGTAAAAGAAGAGCAACTATGGTTAATTTGTGAGACTCCCAAAGCAGAGGACGGCTGGCATAGGAGCACTCCAGGTGTTAAAGCGAGGTTTATATTTCCCTTCTATTTTTGTAAGAAAATGCAGTAAATTATAAATTATTCTTTCTAATTTTGCAAAACAAATTAAATAATTCCTCTTATTTTAAGAATCAATTATTAGTTTATTGAACAAATGTTGACAATAATTAATTAATATTATTTTGTCAAAAATATCTTCTTTTTCTAATCAGTCTTTCTATATTTTTTTTACTTTTTCATACTTCTTAAAAATAAAAATAAAAAACAAAATAAATTATAAAAATCTAAAATGATTAAGTTATAGATAAATTTAAAAATATAGAAACTAATTAATTAGTTTTTTTTTAAAAAAATAACTATTTAATTTACTTTGCAAAACAAAAAGGAATTAATTTATAATTTATTAAAAACAACAGATTGCTGATATATTACCTTACTTAGCACGTCCCACTGCGATCCTCCTCCTTATTTGATCTTTACAAAGAGTACCGAAATCATCAGGAAGCATGTAGGACGAGTAAAAACCGAAATAGGCAATCTAAAAAGGGGGAAAAACACCATACATTGCAAAACCGAAATGGACAATGTAAGGTAATTCATCATCAAATCTTAAAATAATCACATTTTCCTCGTCAAACTCCTTAATAGGCCACAGTTCCAAGTCATCCAGCTGCCTTGTTCATGCCAATGACGGCAACAATCCATCCAACGACTCGTGATTGTTCCTTTCAAAATGTGTCCACTATAATCCTCAAGACATTTTCAATTCCCACGAATTCATACATTTCCAACAAATTTCGGGAGAGGATGGTCAGCTTTCTGCGAGAGAACGCATAGATGTTTTTCATGGTACTCGAATAATAAACAGAAAAATCTTATTAAAAAGAGAAGTCCTACTGACATGTCTTTCTCCTCTAAGTGAATCGACAGACCACACAGATTCATTTTATGTTAAGCTGGTAGCCCCGTCCCTACGCGTTGTTATTCATTTATGGGTCCTTAATGTACGCTTTTGATAGCGTTTCTGAGCGAGGAGGAGAAAGATGTTAAAAGAGAGGGAGGAAGAAGACCGGAGAGAGTAGAGGAAAAAATTAAAAGCTCATTGAATTTAGGAAAAAAAATTTCAGTTCCTACAGTTCAAATGCAAACATATAAATAGAGGGTAGAGGAAAAAATTTCTCAGCGTCATGGGAAACCTTGCTAACAAATTTCAAAGTAGAGTAAAATGCCCAAAAGAAAATTGAAGACGAATCCAACATCATAACAAATCGACACTTGATTGTTTCCATAGCAAAATGAAAATTTAAATCTCAGATTTCTTCTGGCACCTCAAACAACTAAATAACAAAAACCTGCCAAAACCTAATTCATTCTCCGGATAAGCTCGTTAATGTAGTTCTCACGGTTTCCAGCGTCTCCTCCTTCAACATAGTGATTTCTCTTCTTTTTCAGACCACCCAATGGAGCCTTGAGTTGGAATGGCCACAAGAAGTTATTTGCCTCCTTAAAATGAGGTCCAACAGTCAGGATCTCATGAATGAGATCTTCCACACAGATAATTCCGTGCTTGCCCAGACCCTGGATGACATCACAGCATGTTAGCAAAAAGTTAAAACAAATGCCAACCATCATAAAATAGCAATGTGCATGCAAAAAGATACATACCTGCTCGATGATTGAGTTGTCGGTCAAAGGAATTCTCTGCTGGTTCAACTTCCCAAAGCCTCTCTTGTAGATCAATTCTCTCACACTCTTCAAGTTTGGATACCTAAATCCAAAGTAAAAGAAATGGGGGCATGCAAAACAGAGAGCCATTTGTAAAATCAAATTTGCAGAGCAAAAATGCATACCCAAAGGTCACATAAGGTTCAACCCTGTGAAGCATATTCACTGTTGCCTTGTTTACTTTGAGGAAGACACCATTGAAGATCTGACAGAAAAAAAGGATTGCATGAGTTTCAATTTTAATAAACAGCATTATCTCATAAGAGTCTAAATGGATAGTGCCTTGTAAATAATAATGATCACAAAAAACCATATACTTATAAAAAAGATAAAACCTTGAAACTGATTAACGTGTCACTCTAGCTACATGAGAAATGTAACGTTGTGTTCACTGAAATATGGCTAGCTGATATCAACATAACATGATCATAGCTAACTAGATGCAATCAGTTAAAGGTTAAAAGGGTTTCATATGATACCTGTCTCAAACGCAGAAGCTGCAAGATACTCCTGGTCTTGGGGTGCATGGCATTGATACTGAAAGCCAAAATTTTACCATATATTAAAAACATCAAAAACATCACATCAACCCTCAAACTTGACAAACATAATATAAACTAATGAAGAAAAGAGTAACATACCCCCGGATGCGAATGATAAACAAGAGCTTAGCCTCAGGGTCAACATAAAATCCACCCTTCAACCTTGCCTCACGCTTCAATTGTACAAGTTGCTTTTCCTAGTAACTCCAAAAAGGAAAATCGCATTCAAAAACCTAACCTTGAATTAAAAAAAAAGTAAAAAATTTAATTCACAAGAGGATAACAAAGCATTATACTTGCTCCTCGTACTCCTTTGCGTAATTCTTAGCTCTGTTGAAAATGATCCTGCGGTTCTCGGCATTCTTTTTCTTAGTAGCAGCAACCTCCTGCTTCTTAACCAATGCCCACTCCTCTTCTCTCTTCTGCTTCTTCAAGACAGACTCTGGAACCACTACCTTGGTTGCTTCTTCACCCATCTCTAAACAATTTTAACAACAACCCAATTACCACAAGCCCTCAAAATTATCAAAGATCAACAACTAATTTCTTCACTTCAAATCCAATCCGCAACAGAACCAAAAAATGAATTTTTCAACAAAATTTCTAACTTCTGGAATAAAAATGTCAGCTAGAAACACAGAATAATCCCTCTACCTCCTTCATTATTCAATAACCACACAAAAACTAACCCTAAACCTCCAAAAACACAAAATCAATCCCTATTTAATCATTTTAGCTAAAAAAAAGCCAACAGAAATAAGAACAGATCCAGCTATAGAGAAATGGAAGTGATACGGAAAGCGGTAAATGGAGAGTAAGATCAGAGATGACTCACCGAGTTAAGAATGTATCTCGTCCCCGCTCTGCTCGTGCTGTAGAGGATCAGAGAGAAGATGCTAGGGTTTTTAAGAAGAATATATAGCAGTAGGCTAAGAGTGTCGTATACTTATTTAGGGTTTTGAGGTTGCTTTAATTTTTGGATCTGACGGTTGAGAAGGGTTTTTTGTGTAAGAAGTGATCTCCGTCGTTACTATATGGGAAATAATTTAGGGAGGTTATGGGAGGGAGAAGGCCCAGATGGAATATTTGGGCTTTGGCCCATTTAAATTTTTACAGAAAATAAAGCTTATAAAGAAGATTTTCTAATTCTCCACCTCCTTTTCGAATTTCTTTTTTTTTAAAAAAAAATTCTGGTTAAGATATGGGATAAAATTGAGTAAATTATAAATTAATCCCTTTAGTTTCAAAAATAAATAAATTAGTCTCTTCTAGTTACAAAAATTAATTATTTAGGCCTTATATTTTTACATTTACTAACTTTTTCAATTTATTTAAGGTTTTTATTTTAAAAAATTAAAAAAATAAAAAATATGAAAGGATTGATGAAGATTTTTTTTTAAAAAAAAACTCCTATAATCAAGTCTGTACTAAGATCATGATTTACTGATTCATAATTTTTTGTTTTTGAATTTGGATCCAACATGTGACAAAATTAAATTCACCACAAATTTTTGAAGTCCCTAACTTAATAGCTATTCTCAATTTGATCCCGATGAAAAAAGTTGGATCAAGTAATTTTCTAGCTTTTTTTTCATAATTTGATATCTCTCAAGTAAATTATAATTTAATTCTTCTAGTTTTGATAATGGGTTAATTAGTCCCTTATGTCTCGAGAACTAAATATTTAATCATCTTTGTTTATTTTATGTTCATTTCTATTTTATTTTAGTTTTATTTTAAAATAAAAATATTGATATAAAAAGAGAAAATTTTATAAAATAAAATAATATTAAATTAAACGTGATCAACATTGATCAGATGATTAAATAATTAATTTAAAAAAAAAACTATTTAACTTGTATCTTGAAACTAAAAGGACTGATTTTTAATTTACTCGATATTTGTCCCCCAATATATTGTGCATATTTTATAAAATAGAGGGAGTAAAACCTATTGTTTGGAAGATTTTATTTTATTATTATTATTTTTTTTTTTTTTTTTTAAGGGAGTAATCCATATCATATAGTCAAGGAAATAGAGAGAGTGCATTGGTTTCCTGGGCTCAGGCTTGTGTCTGCTGGAGGGTTAAGCATTAAGCAAATTTAGATGTGATATTATATATGCACTAGTATACTAGATCAATTTTTTGTATTTCGACATAAAAAAATATATTTGGATAAACTTATACTTCAATTAAGATTAAATTGTTGATTAAGTGTATAAATTAAGAAGGCAGTAAGGATTTTTTTTTTTTTTTAATGACGAGATTGGATTTTCAAGGTTATGCAATGAAACTTCCTGTTTTAATTAATACTCAATTGAGTATAAAGCATTTATATAAGAAAATATATTATTTTGTTGATATCTCAGCCACAATGAGCAAGTAATGACATTGACATTATAAAAAATATAATATTAAAATTTTCATGTCCAATTTTTTTTCATGATTTTAAGTATTAAATCAAAGACATTGTATTATCTCAAATTGTTGTTCCTAACACACAAAAGGAACATAACTAATCAATAAAATTTACACAATAAAAGAATAAATTTTCAAAAATTAAGATAGACAAAATAATTAGAACTTTTTACCTTGATCGTCAAAGAATTTGAGATTAAATCACATGTTATGGTATAAAGATGACCGAATCATAAAAATAATTTTATCATGATTTTTAGGTGACTGGCTCAAGGCATAATGAAGTTGTTTTTTTGAGAAGATACAAGTTATTCGCAGAATTTATCTAATGTAATGGATTAAGAATATATTACACACCATTTTAAGAATACAACAAATTCAACCATCTTATCATCTTTTAATAAATTTACACTATTTGTAAGAATTGAAACTCTAAATAAAATTAATACAACTCTTACCCAAATATAGAACTAAAAAATTATATGGCTTTTTTAATGGGGATCTAAAGAAACAAATATTTTTTTCCCTAAGCAAAGCAAAAACTTTCTATAATGTTTTCTTTTTAAGTAGAGTACATGTGATACATTGCAAATGAGATGGAAAAAAAAAAAAGCTTTATATAGGTAATAGAATTAGAGCCGTTAGATGACATGAATGCATGAATTCATAATTACTATATAACCAAAGTAAAATGGCCATTTGAACAGTAATGAAAAGTGATAAATACTATTCATTACTTTTGTTTAGTTTTTTTTTTTTTTTTAATTTTTTAATTATTTTATTTTGGTCGCTAAAAATTTAAAATAAGTATTTTAATCCCTTAACTTATGCACTACACATGTCTTTTTTTTCTATCAATTTATTTTATTTTTTACTTAATTGGGTGTTAAAATTTTGAAAAATTAATTTTTCTTTACTTTTTTATAGTATTTTTTGTTAATTTTTTTAATAAAAAAATGCATTCACTGTTCATCAATCTTGGTGTCTCATTTTGTTTTAGTTTTTTTTTGTTAATTATTTTTATTATTTAAAATTTACTACTTTAATTTGTTATTTTTTTAAATTCTCATTCAATTTTTTTAAAATTTATTATTTATATATTTATATTTACTGATAGTTTTGATTTATTTTTTTATATGTATTGATTTTGAAATAAATTTTTAGAGCATAATTATTTTTTTTGAAAAATAAATTCAGATAATTTCTAAATAATTTTATATATTTTATCTAACCTGTAGTATAACGCAGACAAAAAAATCAGCCTTTGTTCTAAAGAAAAAACTGGTGTTATAGTTGGGCCAACGCAGAAAAAGGCAATTATATATGAAAAAAAACAATATATATATAATACAGTAATGTATCCCACTTTTTTTAAAAAAATTGTGATTCAGATGCAATATAAAGAGAAAGCGTAACGTGATTTTTTCAAGAATGCGTCTTCAGCTTGCATCGGCGTCGTTAATTTCTAGTACTCTCTAATACCAAAAGGGCAAAGCTTTAAAAAACCGCAAAATAAAACTTATATTAATGGACTGTTTCAAAACAATTACATATATATATTTTTTAAGTAAATAATACGAATTAACATAACCAAACCCGAAGACCGAACATAATTTGGTTACCATATATGATCAACACCGACGACATGTGGTCTGCAAATCACAAATAGAGATTATTTTCATCACACATGACACGACGGGACAACCAAAGGCATCGAGTTTGGATCTGAGCAACGAAAAGCTAGGTAGTTAGGTAGCTCGTATGCTTATGATTGTGGGGGAAGAAGAAAGATCATTCAGCAGAAACCAGTCGTCTGGAGCAAACAACGCAGGAGAATTTCCTCTTGTTTTTGTGGGAGATTGGGATGAAACAAAAGAACAAATGGGAATCATAATCCATTGCCATCACTGGCCCTCCGCAATACGGGCATGAAGATCCTGCCCCTTGTTTTTTAATCAACTTGTCTCGGACATCAAATATTTGCATGGCTCCCATTTCGATTTCAAACAGAATTTTACCTTCCCTCCAAACTCTTCTCGCGTGGATTTGGCTTAAGTTGTGCCATGAAATCCACGTATATATGTAGACAACATGAATTGAAGAGAAATTGCTAGGAAAGTTTCAATTCCACTTTGCAGATCTTCTTTCCAGGATCTAGCAGTTGTTAGGCAACTTCCTGGTACTTTCTTCTGAGAACTAATGAATGAATGGAGGAAGATGCCAAGTTGGTTTCCCGTCTGAAAAAAGTCAAAAGGTAAACGAGTGGGGCCAACGCGCTTTCAGACTTTTGTCTCGGACAAGGAAGGTAGGTGGGAAGCTATTTTCACTTACAATATTGTAATGGGGTGGGCTACATGGGCTGTTTGCTTCTTTAAACTTATGCTATGGGATCATGGGGGCTGGCTTTAAAACAAGAGTCTTTCTTTTTTCTTTTTTTTCCTTTGGGTTTAAGTAATATGGTTTTTTATGTCATAGGTAAAGGTTAGCTCATAAGTTAAAAGATAGGGATAAAAATTTATGAAATTATGATTATAAATCCCATTTTTTATAGATGTGTGGAAATCTTATTTCTTAAAGAATATGAGTTGGAGTTCTTTGTCATAGAAAAAAAAATATATAAGAAAAGAACAGTAATGTTAAAATTGAATTTTAGATGTGATATTATGTATGTATTAATATACTAGATTAATTTTTTGTATTCCAACGTAAAAAATATGTTCGGATAAACTTATATGTCAATTAAGATTAAATTATTGATTAAGTGCAAAAATTAAGAAGGCAGTAAGATTTTTTTTTTCTTGTTTTTTAATGGCGAGATTGGATTTTCAAGGTTTTGCAGTGAAACTTCCCGTTTCAATTAATGCTTTGCAAATTAATTTTTAATGATAGAAACTGAGGCCGTAGTCAGAATTTCTTGACAGTGGATACGAAATATTTTAATTAGTAGAATTGTAATAAAATCTACATAATCGAACTATAACTATAATTCTTTTTATCTAATTAAACTCAAGAGTCAATGGGTCATAGAGCAATTTTTTTTTTTTTTTTGTAACTAGTGGGATTATAGTGCAATTTTTTTTAATAAAATAGTATATATATTTGACGTTTTTATAGAATTATGGTGGTGTCAACTGATCGCACTAAGTCTTCTTCGGGTACGCTTCTGGATAGAAAAGTGATCCTCCTAAAAGAAAAAAAAGCTACAAAAGTAGGAAAGGGATAGGCCCAAAGTTGGATTTTCATGTTGTAATGCTATTGTTCTTCCATTATTTGTTTCGTTTTTTGTTCTTTCTTTATTTGTTTCTTTTTAGGATAAACCTAGGATAGCAACGAGGCAGGGCAGGGATCGCCATCTCTATCCCTCCCAAATCCCTGTTTAAGGTGAAATTTTGCTTTCTATTCCCGCCCCAAATGGGGTGGGGCGAGGCAGAGCTTCGTCATGTTATTTTTTTTAAAGGTAAAATGGCAGGATAAGGTGGGGATAGCCATCCCTATCCCTACCTCGTCCCTTAAAAAAAAAAAAACTCATCTTCATCTCGTATTCTGTTCGAAGCAAAATTTCGCATTCCATACCCGCCCCAAATAGGATGGAGTGACGTTGGGACGGGTTGAATTGCTATGTCTAGATAAACCAAACAATAGCATATAATTATCCTACAAGCAAGATATTTGATTAAATAATAAGAAAAGCATTAAAAAAACTTTATGATTTTTTTAATGAGAAAATTATGAAAGTGGAAGACTGAATTAAAAATAACAGATAAGTAGTGTGGAAAAAATATAAAATTTTTAAACTAAAAATTAGCTTTTTGAAAATTCGGCCAATTAATAATAAAAAAAAAACAAAAAAAATGGAAAACAAAAAAGAAATATGGGCTAGAATCCATCGGGGCCAGCTTTCAGGGCACACATGTGAAGTTTAGGGACGAGGATGGGATGGGGTGGACATTTCGTTGTCGAATCCCACCAGGACATTCAAGACCAGCCCTTTCTGGGGATTGGTTTTCATTTGTTCGGAAACAAGGCCTCCAGGTCGGCGACATCATAGTAATCGTCATCGATGAAGAGAGGGAAGATGATTTCCGAATCAAGGTTAAGAAAGCAAGTTCACAGCTCGAAACTAGTCGAGTCCTCTAGCTTCTTCTAACGCCTGCATGCAGCCAGGAGAGGAGAGCAGATCTTGAAGACAATATGTTTGGAATATTTCAGAAGAGTAATTCTAAGGAATTCTTCTTCTTTTCTGTAATGTCCTTCTAAGGTTATGAAGAAGCACTTCTTCTGATTATTTAGCTACTATAGGGCTTTGATTAAAGAGCAAGGTACTGTTGAAATGTTCTTTTGCTAGGAGAAAACTTTAATGTACAGTATTTGTTTTTCAATATATAACACAAGAAATTTCAGTTATTATTTTTCTTTAAAGTTAATTAGTAGATTAAGCACAACATTTAACTAAAATTAGTGTGGCTGTTGGAATGAAGGTTATAGGAAGGTAGAAATTGAGGTTGACTCTAAATTGATCGTGGATCTCTTAGTCAAGATGATATTGGGCATCATTTTTTTATAGTCAATAAGGTCATTCTACTTTATTTATTTATTTAATTTTTGTGAAGTTTTTAGGATTTTCATCCCCATCATATCTATAGTGAGAGAAATCGATACGAGAATTGATTAGGTTAATTTATGAATTGATTAATTAATTATGTTTATTTTTTAAAATTTGAAATTCATTTTTACCATATCTATCATGAGAGAAATCAATACATGAATTGATTAGATTAATTTGTGAATTGATTAGTTAGTTGTGTTTATTTTATAGAACTTGAAATTTATTATCTTAGGTGGTGTTTGATAAAATTGAAAATTAAGTGCTGGATTTATTAAGGATCGAATTTTAAGTGCTTGAATCCGTTAAGTATCGAATATGTTCCCGATAAGTTCGTTTGGTATTTATTGAAAATTAAGTACTAAATATAATAAGTCCGTTTGAAGATGATATAATATATATGATATTTTTTAAGATTTTAGTTTGAACATATGTATCCGATTATATTACTCTTATTGTTTAAATTTTATTTTTTTCAATTATTTTTTTCTTACTAAAATTCTCATCAAATTAATTTTTGATATAATTTTATTTGTTAATAAATTTGATTGTTTAATATATGAATTTTGGAATAAAATTTTATAACATCGATGTTTTATTTTTTAAAAATATATTATTATAATTTATATAATGAATTATTTTTATGCTTTTCAAATGAGTATTTTATTTTTTAAAATATATTATTATAATTTATAAATTCATATATATATATATAGAGAGAGAGAGAGTGTTTTAGATAGTTTGACTTAATCAGATAAGTTAAAAATTTTAACTTATCTTATTAAGTAGATTTTAACTCGAACTTAAAGTTTTAATATGAGATCATTTAAGTTATCAAACAAGATTTTTATATTAAGTAGTACAACTTAATTTTTTAAGCTACTTAATTAGGTTATCAAACACCTCATTAGAGAGACTCGTTTAAACTTATTAATTTTTTTCATAATATCTATTTGTTTTTCTATTTTATATTAAAAAAACGTAACAAATAAATAAAAAATATAAATGGACAAAAAACTAATTAATTTGTTTCTATAAATAAATAACAATAAATAAATAATAAATTTGGAAATAACATAAAAAAAAAGTGAAAAACGAAATTACTTTTTATATTATCCATTGCCAATTACCAAAAACAACTAAAAGAAAACGTAACATACTGTTTAATACTACTACTGTTCATTGTTTCTTAAAACACTATTATTTTACTGTTGATTGTGTCTATAAAAAGTATTCATTTACTGTTTGGCTAGCTCATTTATTTTATGCCCTTGTGTTTTCCTGTAATTTCTTCCATGCCATTCATTGCTATTACGCTATTACCTTTTTGCCCATGTTAATTTTCTTTGCTTCCATATTCCTATGTCCTCTTTTGCCTCTTCCCTTTCTTCTCGCACAGAGCATTCAATCCTTCTTTTTCCCTTCTGATTTTTTTGTTTTTCACACCTCATTTTCTTTCTTTCGCCAGAGCCATTTCGTGGTGGTGGAGGGCGCGGGTCATGGTTTTTGGATAGCATTTTTTTTCTTTGTTCTTTTGGTTTTTTTGACCGCAATTCCTTTTCTATTTTCAGAATGCATTTAATGTTGTGATTCGGTTTGGTTGCCCTTGATTTCTTCTCTCATTCTTCTCTCTCTTGCTCTTGTTTTCGCTGGTGGAGGGCCAGGGCGATGCTTTGTTGACAGCGAATTAGTTTCCCTTTCATTTTCAACTTGAACAGGCTTGCGCTTTTGCCTACTGGTTGGGAATGAGTTTTGGTTTGATTTTTTTGTCTTCTTCCATTCTTGACTGAATGGCTTAGTGGAATGTTGTGCTGTCACTTTGGGATTGCGGATTATTATTGCCTCCTGCAATTTTAATCTTTATTTTTTTAAAAAAAGCTTTTTAATCCTTAATTTTCTTTTTGCTTTTTGGTTATTTATTTATAAATTTTTTTTGATCCTCAAAGTTTTTGAAAAAATTATTTTAATAACTAATTTTTAAATTTTATGTAACTAAATTTCTATATGTTAATAAGAAAATATAAATAAATTTATGCTCTATGTTTCTTAGTTAATAAAATTTTCTATATATTTTTTTAACCATGAATCGGTCCACTTATATTTCTAAATGGACATTTAATACTTTTCAACCATTTCAAAGTACAACGTATATTCCTTTATGAATAATTAAAACTTCTGCACCATTTTGGATTTCAATAAACAATAATATTGGCAAATTTTTTAGCACTACATCAACAAATAAAAAAGAAATATCGAATCCAAAAATCCAGGGCTGCAAAGAGCGGACATACTGCTAGTTTTTTTTCCTAATAAATAAATACGCACATAAAATATAAGAGAAAAACCGGACCAGCAAGCATTCGGTCAGATAGCTCAGCCTCTACATCAGGCCCAAAATCTTGTAGCCTGCTTGAGCCTGGCCCAATATAAAGAAAATCCTCGTAAAACAAACGAACGAGGAAGTTATTTGCTCATAGTCAAACCCAAAGAAATAATTAAAAAAAAATTGAAAATTCGTAATCAAATAGAAAAAATTAGAAAAATTTTGGAATGCCTTTATTCTACTAACTAGCTAGTTAATTATTCATAGTAAATACATATTTTTGAAAAGGAAACTGGATTTTTTGATTAATTATAGCTTTTTTTTTTTTTTTTTGAGTTGTTATTGAATATGTTTCTTTATGTCATACATAAAGGTTAGCTCATTGGCCAAGAGATTGGATAAAAACTTGTGAGATTGTAGTTCAAGTCCCGCCTCTTATAAGTGTATAAGAATACCTTTTCTCCCTTCTTCAGGTGATCAGGGGGCCTATGGGTCGCGTTTTAATTGATAGTCACGTCAAATTATCTATTTGCCCTCGAAAGATGTGAGTCTGAACTCTTCACCATAAAAAAAAAAAAAAAACTTTATGATTCTTTTAATTATGGAAAACTAAATTTAAAATAAGAGGGATAAGAAGTGTAGAAAAATTATAAAATTTTTAAAATAAAAATTAGCTTTTAGAAAATTCGCCCAATTAATAAAAAAACATTAAAAAGAAATCTGGGCTAGAATCCATCGGGGCTAACTTTCTGGGCATGCTCAAGGCTGGCCCAATATATAAGAAAACAAAAAACAAAAAGAAAGGAAAGAAGGCCCACTAAGGACTCGCCATATCAATTTCGAATTGCAAGCGAAATTTGTTATATATATATGTTAAGGAAAATATTATTGTAGAATTTTAATCACTTCAAAGGGAAGTATTAAATAAAATTGTGAGGGTATTTTGATTTTCCATAAAAGAAGAACAACATTTTAATCACTTCTAAGTGCTTTATTAAAATTTTCCTTTTATGTTATGCCACATCCAACTTACTTAAAAATAATATAAGATGTAATAAAAAGTTTCATCATTTTTTTATTTGAATTTTTAATATTATGTGCTTATTTATTACATAATAGCTAATATAAATATTATGGATGTGTTTTTTCACCAATGAACAAAAAAGTTATAATTTATGATTCTTTTTATGGGGAAATTATAAAAAAGGAGAACTAAACTAAAAATGAGAGATATAATAAGTGAGGAAAAAAATATAAAAATTTTAAAATAAAATAGCTTTTAGAAAATTTGGCCACTTAATAAATTAATAATTAAAAACGGGGAAAAGAAAAAAGAAATATGGGCTAGAGTCGATCGGGGCCAGCTTTCTGAGCATTGCTCAAGGCTGGCCCAATATTAAAGTAAAAAAGTATGATGGGGGACCGAATTAGAAAATAGTTTTTGTTTGGGTACTCAATCGAGAATTGGGTGATATTTGAGGAATGAATAAATATGTCCTTTGCCCCAGAAGAAAAGTGAAAACAGAGAGCACAAAACAAAAGCATGCACGAGCTTGCAAAATTTATCTGTGAAACAAAGCCAGGAAATTTCAGGAAGAAGATGAATGATTGCAAATGTTTTTCTGACTTGAGCTTGAAACTTCACGATGTCATGTGGATAGGATTTAAAACAAAGCTTCAGCAGAGACAAAATGCTTGAAATACTGTAATCAAAATAGGAAAAGGTCACTGCCAAGCAGGAACACCCTAACAATTGTGCATTCGGCAGCTTTCTTCAACAAAGCAGGTTTGAGTCCTAAAAACTATTTTATTTAATTATTATGTAAAGAAAGAGGTTACGCCTCCTTTCTGTAGTTCAAGACCCATAGGCTTCCTAATGAACCAAAAAAACGTGAAAAGGTCATCAGGATCATCCATTTATTTTAAAGAGAAAAAGGGTAAGGATAAAGGAAAACATCTTCAACAGTTTTCTGACTCAAAACATTGCCTGATAAGAAACTTGCACACACCAAGATAATGGGAGTTTCCTGAATCAGCTTGAAGGAATGTCCACTTCTTGCAGCTGAAATGAAACTGGAAGAAAAAAATGCAAATAAATGGAGTGAAAATGGAGAAAAGAACTTAACCTGATGAGTTTTTTGTTTTTTTTTTACAATACCTGAAGCTAGAAAATACTAGTTCTCATGGTTTCTCTGACGCCTCCTCTGTCTTCCAGATTCATCAAGCTTGTTTCTGATGGAATGCAGCTCGTTTACAACATTATTGATGCTCATTCTTTCCCTTGGAAATTCTGCAGAACAGGCGACTCCGATCGTAAATACCGAAATTAAGCACTCATAAATTCTGTAGCCATTTCCTCTACTCTGATTGTCAGAAGTGCTAGCCCTTGTACTTGTTTCTCCTTCTCCTCGTTGAAGAAGTACTGGATCTGCAATTTCTGAAACTTGCATAGGTAAACTTGCCTTAACAAACCTATGAAGGTTCAAACTGTCTTTGAATACAGGATTTGTAGGTCTCTTTCCAGTGAACAGCTCCAGCAGAAGAACGCCGTAGCCGTAAACATCACCATATGTTGACACCTCACTTCCCATACCATATTCTGCAATTTCAAGAGAGTATGTTTCACTTACATTTCTGAGCAAACAGGTAGAACCTAGAAGCATATGAAGGGTAAACTCACCCTTTTGTTTATCAATGATTTGCAAATTTAAGATGTAACTAAAGGATATCGTAAGTTGAAGAATGGCGTAGAGTATGTTTACCTGGAGCTGTGTAACCTATAGTTCCTCTGACTCCAATGGAGCTGTTCTCGTTATTGGACAAGTCCATTGTTGCTTCTGGAAGGATTCTGGAGAGTCCGAAGTCACCTAAATGTGCAATCATATCCTCGTCTAGAAGAATATTGCTTGGTTTTATGTCACAATGAACTACAGGTGGTTGGCAATCATTGTGAAGATATTGCAGTGCACAAGCAACGTCGATGGCAATGTTTAGTCTCTCATGAAGATTTAAGCTCCTTGGTGCCTCAGTCTCCTCATCTGTTCTGGGAGTTGGATGGAGCCACTTCTCTAAGCTGCCATTGACCATGAACTCATAAATCAAAGCTTTGAAGTCATTACCTTGGTAATCAATACCGGAACATGCTGTCAGTATTTTCACAAGGTTGCGATGCCTGATGTTTCTCAAGGCCTCGCACTCGGCTGCAAAACTCTTGGAAGCTCCACGGCGAAGAAGGTTGAGAACCTTGATGGCAACAATAGTTCCCAACTCATCAATAATTCCTTTGTACACAGACCCAAAGCTGCCTTCTCCAATCAAATGGACTGAAGAAAATCTATCAGTAGCTGCAACGAGACTTTGATACGAAAGTCTCAAAGGCAAATTTTGTGAATTGTGCAATTTAGGTTCCTTTTGTTTCTTCCTTGACCAACAAAAATATAGTGAAGACAACAGAGTAGTTACTCCTAGTACCCCAAATGCAACGGAGATTATTATCTTCAACTTCCGGGTCGATGCCCCTTTCGTGGACTTCTCCAAGTTGCAAGGGGGTAACTCTAGTTTAGGCACACCCCCACAAAGCCTTTTGTTTCCCCTGACTGAAACTGCACTTGTGTTCTTAAAGACACCTTGTACTGGCACCTCGCCTTCGAGATCATTGAAAGATAAATTCAAGTACTGCAGTTGAAATGTCTCGAGGAAATGTGGGATTTTGCCTGATAAGTTGTTGAGAGAAAGATCTAAAATCCGAATGCTCCTTAAGGAACTCAATGATGAAGGCAAATTTTCGGATAAAAAGTTCCCTTGCAAAAGTAAAACTTCCAGGGAAACACAGCTCCCAAAACTGAGAGGAATTTCACCAGATATCATGTTATAAGACAAATCCAAACTTCCTAAATGTTTCAAAGTTCCAACTTCTCTGGGCAAGGGACCACTCAAATGATTGTGAGAAACATCCAGAAAAATGGACAAGGAGGAAAGACTGACAAGTTCTTGGGGTATGGTGCCACTCAGATTGTTATGAGAAAGTTCCAATGCTAGCAATTTATGACATAAACCTAAACTTGAAGGGATAACACCCTGCAGATTATTCCTTGCTAGACTCAGTAAAGTTAAATTCGTCAGATTCCCAAGCGAGGATGGAATGTTTCCTGAGATATCGTTTTCCAGCAACAGCAGTACAGCCAGCTCTTGCAG